AGCATCGATAAGCAATACGATAAACAACAAGATAAAACAAAACAAAGGCAAGATATCAGAGTAGAAACTGCTCATATCATATAATTGAACAGACATCCATATGGTATGGATTTAGTACAAGTATAGTCAATTATTAAAGAGGCCCCATTCAACAAGACTGGCGGTGACCTTGTCGATCAAAACAAGCATAAAAGATAAGTGCAGTAAAAAAAATTCTCCTTAAGCTCAACTATCCAGCTAATCATTTCCAGAAAAAAGGGTCTCCAGTCACAAAGCCCCTCTTTTTCACTAGCACCAACAAACAATGATATTTGAGTTCCCAATCCTCAAAATCTATGTTTCCCACTTCGGCCTCTTCTGTTGCAACCTTGTCTTTCTTTGCTACCTGGACTTTGATTGTTGTCAATTCGTTCGTAACTTGAATCAAGCGAACATCCTTCTCTCTCAACTTTTTCTTCAACATCTTAACCTCCTCACAATTCTTAACTTCCAATTCCTTTTTAGCCAATCGAAGGTTTTTTATCTCTTGATGCTTAGCATGTAGCTCTTCAACCTGTCGACTGGTAGTATCAGAACCTTCGACCCTAGGTCTTTTCGACCGCTCAAGCAAACCATGTTTTTCTAGCAACTGGTTCTTCAGCTTAACCTCTTTCATGAGCTTCTTCTTGTATTGCAAGGCAAATGACATATCCACATTCATTTCTTCCTTCCTAGCCTGGAGTTTGAGGTTTACGGCCGTGACATTCTTAAAACACGTTACAGGAACGAACTCTAATCATTCTGGGACCGGTTGCACGGGAGACGAATCAATATGGAATAAACAATTTTCCTCCTGAACATCCACTAATGGGTCGAAATCAGGTTGAGGATATAGAAACTTCCCCCTTTTATAAGGTAATCGCACTTCCCCCACACGATCCTGAATCCATCTCGTATAAGTATCATAAGCTACACTACCAATCTGGCTGAAAGAAAGTTTCCCTTTATGGCGAATATGTCCCTATTCTATCTTCACCTTTTCAAGCAACACTTCATCTTCCCCTTTACCGAAATAAACGGTATCCACCACCTCCCGCTCATTGGGTCTATCTAACATCACAAATCCTAATTGACGACGCGCCAGGATAGGGTTATAATTAATGCACCCCCTTGTCCCCATAAGCGGGAAATTAGGGAATTCTCCACACCCTATAATGATCTCTTTCAAACCTATCACAATTTGCCAAACAATATCATACGAGGTGAGTCCCATGATACGCTGAGACCATATAGATGAATCGGCAGCATGAACAAAAGGCCCTTTGTAGGCATATGCATCATCAACCATTTATAAAGCGCAATCGCGCAACACATGACTTTCCCTTTCTTTCCATGTCGGGAATGGACGGTGTAATAAGTGTCGGCGAGTAGAGTTGGTACGGGGTTACCGTTCATGAAGACATACAATGCGGATAAATGCACTAACTTCTCAGATACTCGAAAAGAGGACCAGACCATAAATCATGGCTTCCAGCAGTGCATTAAACGCGGTCCAATTCATGTCCTTTTCAAAACCTTTAGCCTTTGATATCAAGTAATTCAGAGGGAGGCCACTTGTGTCACTTTTGTTAATCCAATTACTTTTAACTTCACCATGAGTCAAATAAAGAGCTCTGGCGATCGCCATATAGTATGGAATCTCTGGTGCTCGAACAAAAGGAACATTGTTGGTCACTTTGACATCCATGATGTGCACATACTCTTCGAGAGTTGGTGCCGATTGATAGTCCCGGAAAGTAAAACAGCATAGTTGTGGATCATAGAACTGAAGAAGTGTTCTCACGGCTCATTCTTCAAAATCATCATTCACCAATAGTAATAGGTTTCCATATTATCCTCTGAAAACTTTTTCATTTGGTCCCTTCACAAGAGCTCCCACCTCTCGCAATCGACCACCAAAGCATGGGAACTGATAAGCAGCAGTGTTTCTAAGAGGCTCTGAACTTGTCTTCATGTTGTTATCCATCTTTGATGCTGATGACAGACCTCAAAATAATCCTGGAAATGAAATGCAAATGCAGGTTAGGCCGTTATATATTTTTTTGCTTTTTTTTAGTTTCTTTTATAAAATAAATATGCCATGATGCAAGTGCAATAATCATAAGATCGAAGTTTCTGCAATGCTGGATAGTTGCTGAACTGATAACCGAACCACTGTCATATGTAATAAGATCAAAGGTCCGGACCAATTCAGAATACCAAGGATCAAAGTTATCAATATAATCAGAGTCACCAACGGAACATGTATAGTCACCATCTGTACTTGTAAAGATTATTCCCTCCCCACTCACGGGTAAAGACTAGGTCATTGCAAGGTCAATGGTAACTCAGAATCGAGGGTACTCCTGAAAAACTATCGCCATATCACCTACATGAAAATGATAGCCCCTCATTTGTACCTCATCTGAGCGTGGATGACATGGCGGCATAGTGAAACCTAAGTCAACTAACCGTTCATGTTCCACTCTATTCCTAGTGTTCTTGTGGTTTCCACTTGTCTTGGGTATTGGGCCTTTTACCCGATAGTAACATCCCACCCATCAAGAAACAGAGAAACCAGCATAACAACAATATAACAAATAATAATAAAGATGCAATACGAACATATGCTCAAACATATACATATGAATAATCCATAAAAGCATAATGATAAACACCCTAAGAGAAGAAAAATGGGAGCTAGGAGTGACTCACGGGATGGACTAGCAATTGGTCGACATCTGTATTGACATCCCCAGTGAAGTCACCATTTTTCTGTAGCGGTAAAATCAATGAAGTCGCCACCGAGTATTTATTTATCCCGTATGAAAGGGAAGGGAAAATCATCGAAGAAAAACATAAAGGGGAAATCAAGGTCTTGCGACCGAGAGATTGGGTAAGGGAGTCGATTACGCGAGGGGAAGGTATTAGCACCTCACATGTCCATAGTACTCTACGGGATCCACTCTCGTTATTCTAATCAAAGGGTGTGTTCAATCTAATGCTTAAGGGTTATAAACTAAGAGAGAATGCATGCAAAGAAAAGAGAAATAATGTAGGGAAAATAAAGTTGTACTCGCTTGGGCCCTACCCCAATGCCTACGTATCCTTTTTGAGGAATCAGAGCTACCGTAGTTCGGCTCATATATTTTGTTTGTTTGTATTTTATAAATGAACAATGTTGCATTCGATCATTCCACCGCTGCTCGACCTTTGGAGACTTACGACCTGTAGTGGAAAGGAGCTAACATGTTCTTAGTAGAGAAAAGCCTAATGGCGAAAAGAAATGGATTGGTGGGTATTTTCTATTATGAAAAGTATTTTTGTATGCTTAGCATTCTTTGTACATTTGCCAAGAAAAAAGAAATTTTAGTTTTAAGTGCAATTATGCACACACAAAAAAACGAGAAGAAAACATCTAAGGAAGACTAACCTATCTCTGACCTAATGTTATCAAACAATGAGGTATCCTACCTAAGCTAGCATTCCAAAGAAAATCGAACAAACTATCCTATAGGGAACATGCAATGAGAGCGAAGTCGTGATCTCAATTTCTAAATTGACTGACTCATCGATCAACAAGAAATAAAGGAAAACGATAAAATCCTATAGGGAGCATGCACTGAGAGCGAATTCGTGATCTCAATTTCTAAATTGAGTGACTCATCGATCAACAAGAAAGGAAGCAAACACAAGCACAACACATAACAAAAATGAAGTGCGGAATGCCTGCTACAGGTCTTTAAACAGCGACTTCGAGTGCACGCTCTTTATTTCCTACTTCTCATGATATCTAGAAAAGCGATAAATATGGAAATATAACTTGGAAGCAGTGTAATACAAAACGAACAATGGCGTCCGCAAAAAGTGCAACCAAAGTAAAGAAATCTGAGATACTTCGTGCGAGCTGGCATCAACAAACAATCCGTCAGAGTTTCAATATTTGGAATAAGTGTCACAACTTCGTCGATGTGAAAATAAATCACAATCGGAATCCAAAACACATCCGCATATGAAATAATGAACCTGCATAAGACTCAGCTCAACAAACAAAGGTGAATTACAAAATCTCAAGTAATCGGATAATCATGGATTAATTCCCAAAATCAAATAAAAATATAACAAATTTTTATTTATTTTTATCATTTTTATCATCCAAAATCAATATATAAAAAATCATGAAAAGAAACATGCTATGGAAATAAAATTCAAGTCTAAAGCAGATGGAGTATGAAATTTGTATTGGAAGTATGTTTAGAAATTGCACTAAGGCCTAGCCCTGAGATGATCCAAGAAGCGTGGTTTTTTTACCAGTCTGTTGACAATCAGGCTTCCCAAAAAGGAGAATGGGCTTAGTAAGAGAAAGATTCGTTCCACCTCAATACCATAATTTTTGTTATTCAACACTATTTTCTATTATAAAAAAAATTAAAAAAAGCTAAAAGAGAAAAACGTGAAACTGGTGAAACGACACAGTAATGGCCTAGGGTTTCCAATTTACGCCGATTCATGTTATTCACAAAACATGACCCACTTCTTCTCATCACCTATGCCATGAATCTTTCTTCTTCATCTCTCCGATCCATATCTGCGGTGGTTTAAACCTTCGTCTCACCATGCGCCCATCCCTGTTCTCTCTTGTCAATAAATCTCCACCATGGACACTCAACTCCAATTTTAATATCTCAAGCGGTCTTAGAGTGACTCGAATTGAAACCTCTAAATGTCCTCTTTGTGAATCTTACACTGATTTTCAATAGTCTTATTCGGAAATCACCGAAATCTGACTCAAATCAGCATCATAGAAATTGCTAACCAACAGATTAAGGGATGCACGGTGATAGTCATGGTGTTTTAGGGGACGTGTTCAACAGGGTTTAAGCTTCATACCAGCATTTAAGAAGAAGTGAATACAATGAAAATACAAAAGAGGACGAGATTTACCTACCAGAGAAGTCTGGCGCTTCTTCAGATCGGTGAAGATGATCATAAATCATGAAGTTCTTATGTATTCAGGTACGGAATCCCTTAATTCCTTTGCATGACTCCTTCTTCTTCCTCACGATCTTCTTCTTATTACATTCTTCTTTCGTGTATGCTGCAATTGTTTACTGAGGTGTTGATGTGAGGTTAATATTGAAGCAGGGTTCCGAGAAATGAAGGGTGGGGATGGTGAAATGGCGGAAAAGAGTTCGAGAAAATGGAGGTTGAAGGATTTAGATAAAGAGAACGAAGGTGATAATGAGGTTCAGAGCTTCAAGAATCTCGATACTGAGAGAAGATTCGGTTGAAGAAGATGATGGAAGTTTCCACGAAGATTGATGAAGACGTGATGTTAGATATGTTTTTGTCATGAAGAGTAGAAAGTGGATGTTGAATGATGAACGAAAGTTGAAGATGGAAGCAAGAATGGGAAGAGTGAAAAAAATCAAGATGAAAATCAGAGTTTCTTTTTGAAGATTTCAGAGGTGAGTTTTTCTATCTTTTTTGTTAGTGCCCCCCCCCCCCCCCAAAAAAAAAAAATTCAATGCCCTCTTCTTTTCTTCTATTATCCCTTAGAAGTTTTTTAGAGGGTGAGTTAGAGGATAGAAAGTTTGTTAGGAATCTGTTGGAAGTTTGTTACAAGTTGGTTAGTTGGGAGCCTCAAAAATTATGTTAGAGTTTAGTATTTTAGGTCTTAGATCCCCTGCAGACGATACTGGATTTGCGTCTGGTGAATAATAGATGTCAGCATTGAATGGAACAATGACTTTTATCTTTGTACCCAATCCTGCATTTTTGAGTGAAGTCTGTATATTCTTTATAGCTGGAAGAGTTTTACTTAGATATGCACCTTTGTATGCTTTAAGAAAATGGCTCATTACCTACAATAACATACTTGATATTGACACCATCCGGTAACAAGTAAGTGGTAAAATTTTGATAAACCCAAGCATCAGCGACTTTAGGATCGTTACTAATCCTATCCATCATGATATTAGGAATCGCAACCATAACTTCGATATTAGAACCCATAAGAGCTATCATAACGGTATCATCAGCATCAAATAGCTTCAATTTTTTTTAAACCTGTTTCGCATGAGCATCTTCGCAACTTTCGTTGATGGAAGCCGGTGTGTTGTCATGGTTCCCCAGTTTACACCTACCCACCCAGAGGAACTCGCTGCTTAGAATTTAAACCATTTTCGTGCGCCGTTTTTTGGGTCTTGGTTGTTATGATGATTTCAAGTTTGAGAAGATTCCAGAATGTTGAAATAACAGAATGTCATGTATAATAACAAGTTCGTTTCTTTTTTGCATATTGATATGGACTTATCTTTCTTATTGGTGATATTTATACAGGATTTAAAGACGCAACTTTAGCAAGGAAGCTCAATACAATCATGATGCAAGCTTCTTGTGAACACTGAGATTTGGATAAGGAAAGCAAGGGATAATCTACAATTTTAAGACTTAGGAGTTCCAAATTTCTTTTTATTTTTATCATGTAAAGAGATCTATTTATATAATTGACTATAGTTTGAAACATCTATGAAAAAAATTTGGTTCTAAATTCTATTCTCATCTATGAACAAAATTTGGTTCTAAATTATATTCTCTTCACATCTAAATCCCCACATCCCTTTTTTCAAATTGTAAATCTTACATGGGACCTTTGACAACAACTTGTAACTTCACTTTAAAATAATACATTTCCCTTTCCAACTTCTCAAGCTTTAAACGCTTCTGATCCATTTGAGCACCTTTAAGCGACTTGATTGAACAAACAATGAATCTAAAATTCTCCATTTCTCAAGTAGACTCAAGCGACCATGTTCTTGCGTTTCACGCACAAAATGTCTTGATCAACATAAATCCACATGCTCATCTCGAACCTTTGTACTCCTACTTTAATCTAATATGACAAAAACAGGTCTTGAATATTAGAAGATGAATGGTATTTGGAGCATAAAGAAGGAACATATGACCATGAAAACCCTACTTTCAATGATCCTTAACCTTCAATTGGGTCAAAAATTCAAGAAGAAATCTCATCAAATTTAAAAGGTTGATGGAATTCAAATCCATAACTGAATAATAAAGGACATCTTGCCTTGGTGAAAGCCTCAATCATTCCTTAACCATTTAACCAACAACACTAAAAGGACTAAGCCCTTGACTAAATCTTTTGAACTTCTCGCGAGGAATGTCTTGAGATATAACGATTAGGATAAAACCTAATTGATGATGATGAACTCACAATAAGGGAAGAGTAGTGCTCAGTGTAACCTTGAAGTGAGACTTTAACTCAATAAACCTCCGTAGAAGAAACACCACCAAGCTCAAACAAAATGAAGAGAAATCCTGATTCTCTGGCTGAGTTAAACCCTAATGCCTTTGTTCCTTAAAGAAACTATGATGAACAAAACCTGATATCCTGAGGAAACCTGCTAGAGAAGACGTCTATGCTTCCTGAGATCCAAAACCCTAATCTCATACCAAGAAAAATGAGAGCGCCAATTGAATCAATTTTGAGTAAGATAGCAAACTCAATTCATAGAGAGAAACCCTAATGCCAAAGCACTTCGATCTTATAACCATGAGACCAATATTATGTGCGAAATGTACAAAGTATGACGAGGGATCTTAGGGGAAAATTTTGGGGTACAACAGTAAGACACCTGGGTATGAACAAAAATGAAAGAAATATGTACAAGATGATGCATGATATGCATTGCACATGATTTATTTTAATATTATTAATATTTCAAAGAACTCAAATAATTTATAGACAATTTGCAAATACTAAAGTATTAACACATTTTGAAACACTGAAAATCTCATTATAATATCTTCAAAATGGATTACAACTTTTAGTACAAGCTTGAACAATCCCAAGTACAAAAGAAGATGAAATCTAAAATCCTATGAAAGAAAATCTGATGAAGGTCACTCCACACATTGATGCTTTCCTGTGAGTCTTGCAATCTGAGCCTTCAACTACTTGTTCTCTTCTGCATACCTGTCGGCAACCACTCTCCAATCACCAGAGTTTGGAAGTGAATGAATGAGTCATGATCGAGCTATAGATGAAAATAAATCCTCTTACTTCTCCATCATTTCTACAACACGACTGTCAAGAATCTCAATTAGGTCATCCTTCTCCTTTAAATCATCTCAATAGGACATCTATAAAGTGTGACACTTATTCTTCCAAGCCTCCTTCTCCTGCTGCATCCTGAATAGGGAAAGCTAAAGCTCTTCCACATCATCTAAAAGGGGAGGAGTGGTCTTCACAAACATGTCAGGCATAGGTTCCTCACGGGAATATGAAATCTTCAACTGAATTTCCCTTGCTTGTACCCACCAGAGATAAAGCTCCAAAGAAATAGCTCCTCTAAGTCCCAAGTCCTTTCTACTCTTCCTATGAATATGGCACCATGCCTTTGCAATATCCTCCTTAGCTTCCTTATGATTCTCTCCCTATTTAAGAAAGAAACCACTCAGATGAATACTATTTGTCTTATCTTTCATCGGATATCCAAGCTATCATCGTGCAAGAATGGGATTGTAGTTAATTCCTCCTTTTGTACTGAGAAGAAGTATATTAGGGAAACTACCACAAATATCGATAATATCCAAATCATAGTAATCCTAATGATACCAAAAAATATCTGGATGAGTGAGAGCCATAATCTTTGGTGCCCAATGAGGTTGCTTCTTGATATCCCAGAAAGCATCAGACCGGGGTAAGTGAGAAATAAACCACTGATACAACAAAGGCGTGCAACAAATGATCGTCCCTCCATGATAAGAATCCTAAAGATGAATGATGTAATAAGCTTCTCCTAATAATGTAGGGACTGTATTCCCTATCAAAAAGATCCCAATGGAATTGATATCCACAAAGTTGTCGATGTTCGGAAATAAGAACAACCCATAAGCAAGCAGAGAAAAGATGGCCTCAAAAGCAACTATACTCTTCATCCTAGAAAAATAGCGAGCTTTCTCTAATAAAAATTGAGTGGGTAAGGCACTTATTCCTCCTTTGGTAGTCATGTGGGCCTCAATCTCAGACTTCTCCAAATGAACCATAGTAGACACCTCTGAGACTTTGGCTCTCTCTACAAACCGATGAAAGGAACACGATCGGTGATAGGTAAACCCAGTAGATAGGAATACTTCTCCAATGTAGGAATCAACTGATAATCAGGGAAAGTGAAACATTGATACATCGAATCATAGAATTGGACCAAAGTCGAGAGAATACCCTCCTTCATCTTGAGCTTCATGAGAGACACAATGGATCCATACTTCTTCCAGAAATTTGTAGAACTCTCAATCTCGGGAATCTGGATCATCAAATCATCTATCTTAGGACTCTTGAAATTGTACTTTCGAGTCTTTCTTTTTTCCAGAATCCATGGTTGAAAATACCTGAGATATTCACAAAAAGTCAACTTTATGTCCCTTGAACCAAATTTTTTAAAGGATGGTTATGGGTGCATGAATGCATGATGCAACAATCACACACAATATCACATACATGGGGGATTCATAAGTTCGACGTCACGAGCATAAAGTCAAAGGTACCACCCACAAGGTATAGACTAATAGTTTATCACCTGCCAAATAAGGTTCTAAAAGGTTCCCAAAGTCTACATCCTTCCTTCGGAAATTACCAATGTCCCGATTGACTCGGTAATTAGTAATATTCTTAGGAAAAACTCGTCTGAGTGTAGTATCGTGTGACAACCATTTCTGGATTACTCCATCATAGCTTCCGCGTTACACCAAAAAGGCCAAGATGGGTTAAGGGTTCTACGGTCCTCAGTTTCAGCAGGCTCCCAGGTCGAAAGCAACACGTCTTCCTAATTACTAGGTAAATGATACTACAGTCAAAGGGCCTCTACTGAGTGCGGGATCTCATGCCTCCATTTTTGGGATTACTCCCACAAAGATAACATGACTATACCGCCTGTCTTATCTTAAGTTTGCCCAATTCCAGGTATAAGACTTATGAGAAATCACCAAGCATCCTGAAAACCAGGAAAATCTAGACAAACATATATACATATACAATACATAAACAATAATAGCATATACATAAATAAACAAAGATAGGCTCAGCCCACTTAGGGATGGACCAGAAATTAGTCAATCTTTTCCCAATGAAGTCGACATTTTTTCTATAGTGGTAGAAATGTTGAGACTAAGCCATCGGATTGACTTGACTCGCACAAATCAAATGAAAATCGCCACGGTGCTTTAATGTTTCCAAAGGAATGAGAAAAGAGTGAATAACCTAAAAAGAGGGGGAGAGAATCTAAGTTCGGGGGTTGGTTATGCAAAGGAAAGGAATTAGCACCCTAAACATATACGGTACTCCATTTGAATCTCTTTGAAAATCTATGTATTTTGGCTATAAATGTTGTAAAAAAATTGATTGTGGAGATGAGAAAAGAAATATACTTTACAATTTTTGCACCCGTCGCAGTTGCGAGCCTTTAGTGCCTACGTACCACCTTTCGTGCAATAGGAAATCAGGATAGTCATAGTTCACCTTTAAAAATTTTAAAACACAAGTATTTTGGTTAATTTTAAGAGACAAGACATCATCGTCTTATCCGAGTGGAAAAAATACTTATTACCCACAATTATGAGAAAGGAGAATTTGTATCATCTCAAAGTAGAGGATATGGCTTGGATTTTAAAATCAACAAAGCCTCACTGAACACCCAAGTGGAAAATATCTCACTTCACTACATATCATAGAAGTATAGCAGCTTACATCACTGCAAAGATTGACAAGATTCTAATCTTTTGAGAATATTTTAAAGTAAAAGAGCCAAAGTGGAAAAATGGTTTGAATGAGATTGATTTACTTTTAGTCTTCTCATAAAAATGTCAAAGTATTGTTAAGTTGGTTAAAGTTTGGTTAAGAAAGGGTTTTGAAAATGCATGGACCTAAGTCCAAGTTTATTGTGAAAGCGGTTCAAGATTAAAAACAAGAAGAGTTTTCAAAAGGAGAAAGAATATTTTTGAAATTAAAGAAGATGGGAGGAAAGGAAGGGACTATCCTAAAGCATAAGGTAAAATCTAGGGAAAAGAACCATCTAACCAATAAGAAGCCAACACTTGACACAATGAGCCAATGTAGAACTCCAATCCTTTGGATTAAAACGAAACAAGCAAAAATACTAAACCTCTTAAGAATTCCAAGCTTCAAATGCATTAAGTATTCATAAAAATTGGGTAGAGTAACAGTTGTATACAGATGAATTCCCAATTATAGACAAAGCATATAATCAAAATAACCTGCACACAAATAAAACAAATAACCCAATGTCTTGGGGTAGACCCCCAAGAACTCCAGACAAAAT